GTGGAATGTCAAGATTTCATATCACCATAAAATTAATCCGTAAGCAATCTGCACTGTATGATTCGTGTGAGCTGAGGTGGGATGGAGTGTGACCCAAAGCATTGTGAAATCAGGTTTTGCACAATTGAATGCCAAATGACGGCCATCAACTTTTCTTGAGAGAGACAAGTAACAGATGAGAACTGAAATGAGTGAACAGGAAGTGGTCAGAACTAGCTTATTCCTCAGGTTTCGTTTGTCTCAATTGAAGTCAATGATCGGTTTATGCTGCAATGATTCTTTCAGTCACTCACTAATCACTCGTTTTCCTTCTTTTCAGCATTCATACAACAAAACCGCTTCCATACTAGCATACCACACTGGGCCTTTCAGGGAAAAAACAGAAGCTACAATGAAATGTAACAGCTGCGTGAAAATTCAGCTGTCGTGGTAGCGCTTGCAGGGAGACACTGAGAGGGCTTTAAAAACTCCTGACACCGATTTTGACGTGACCCATCTGGACTGCCACAGAGGCTCGCCGTCTGTGTTCAAACAGTTGAGGTGTCGCGAAATTGCCCAATTACCGGGACTGAGGACACTAATGGCCACTTGATCGCTACAACGTCTGCCAATAGATGTGCAACAACCCATTAAAGGGTCCAACTTATAGGAAAATGAGAGGAGTGCCAATCAGTCTCACGGCGGTGTAGTAACAGGAATTTCCTCTCTCAGTACCTACCATGAATTCATGGAGAAATGATTGAAGTTGAAATGGGTTGTCAAGACCATCCGCTCTTAACTAGAAATGGCAATTGAGAGGATAACTCAGGAGTCACAGTGGCGACGCTGAATGAATCGGTCAGCCGACCTTACTCAACGTAAGCCTTAAGGAATAATGCAATCGCCCCAACACTAGACTCCTACTGTAGGCAAATTTTGGGAAAAAAAGGGAATACACACAAAATGAAACAAGATTATGCTCATTTTAAGCAACTGTCCGTATGAAAAACGACCCAAAGATCTCCTTCTCCCATTCATTCAGCCAACAACGTAACTCCGAATGAAGAATATTGCTAAAGTAGGAAAAGTGTTTATATCTTTTTATTTGTAATAGATGCACAACCTTTGATCTTTTTTGTGGCAAAATGTATTTTACTGAACCGGAACCCTAAGGGACGAAATAGACCCTATGTAATAGTTTTTGTGGTATTCCGGGTTGGTGCCACAGCGCTCTGCACCGTTGCCTAGTCCCTACAGCAGCTAGAAATGAATAAACGCCCCGACTTGCGGATACACCTCGAAGTGCTTCCTCGAAGCCTAGAGCGCAAGTTATTAGTCAAGACTTTACATAATGGGTGATTTTAGCCTCAAAGATGAAGTCAAAAAAAAACAGACTCACTAAAATATGACCATTGAGGAAGGGAACGAACGTTTTAAAAGTAGATGGCTAATTAAAACACATTTCTCAAATGAAGTAAAAGGCAGTGACATACTCGCGTAGACTGTCCACAAGACGTCGTGTCGTGTCCTTAAAGGCAGGTAAAATGAGGAAACGACTGCGCCAGAACTTGAGAGCCTAAAAGGCAAGAGGAAGTTAATGTCAGTGGACCTTCGAGTTCGGCGTGGTTATGAGTTGTCGACTGGAATATTTCACCAATTCCGATCCTTTTTAGCTTTGCAAACACCAAAGATTCCGCATTTGTGTTTTATTGGCTCCTTTGGCTTCCGAGAATACTTGGAAAGCAG